AAATCGTGATTGATCTCAATTGAATCAGAATCCTTGTTTCCAATTGAGAACCCTCTCTAAGCGATCGCTTAGCGTTTGGTCGAATACGACGCGTCTACTCGCGCAATCGCGGAGTATCAACCCGTTCGACTTGAGTTCATTGGGTTAATCAACCTAACCATTAAATCTAATGGTTAATCTCTTTCCTAAGAACGCAATCGCGTATCTCAGACTGAACACCCACAATCGCGCGATGCCAAACCGAGTTGGAAAGAGAAACAAATTTGGTTCAAAATGAGGCGCGGGTCCTCAGGATTCAACCATGGAATCCTCAACCTTTGGGTTGATTAAAGAAAAGAGGAGAGAGAAAAGACAAAAATTCTATTAATTTCAAAACTATAAAATTCAAATTCAAACGAAAGATGATCCACAAGGTCCCTACTCTCGCCCTTTTAACCCCTAATCAAGCTGGACTTCGGGCTCTACAAATCCAACCCAAAATAAAAGGAAACAAAACAGAAATATTGGCTCTGGGCCTCATGTACATTGGGTTCAAAATTATAACTTAAGTTCAAACGTAAAAATAAATTTTCAACAAAATACGTCCATCTTGGGCTCAGGTTTCGACCATCTTTCTGTCCGAATTGGGCTTCAGTAGCTGAAATAGCAATTGTAGCCCTTCCTGTTAGCTGCAAAACTCAACAAAAACGGAGTTAATCGGATATCTGTAGAGTGAGATATGGCCAAATACGAAAGTAGTGTAAATCTGGAAAATTATAACGAAAATCAATTAAACTCAATTAAAATCTAGAATTCTGATTTGACCCAAAAGACCTTTATTTAATTCAAATAAAATCTAAAAATACCAACCAAGAGTAATAAATAAGTGTAACAAAATATGTGTTATCACCCACCATTACAAAAAAAAAAGAAAAAGAAAAAAAAGTGAGGTCCGAAAATCGAAGTGAGAGAAAATGAGATAAACTACCTCATGTAAAAGAAGACTAATAATTCCCATATAATAAAAAGAAGTGTTGTTAAACCCGACCCGGGCATCGACCCGGTCGGGGTACTGGGTCACTGGTCGGACCGGTGGGTCACGGGTCGGACCGGTTGACCCGGATATATATAAACATATAAAGATATATATAAATACGAACATATAAATTCAATTATATTCTCATATCTAAAATGAATTAAACAAGGTTCACTAAATAAGTTAAAAAACATAAAGCATAAATATAAAAGTGCATGTTATTACTATGTCAATTTAAATTGTAACTCAGAATCCCCATAAACATACCTCTCAATGACATTGAACTCATAGTTTTCAAATTCAACTACATTAAAATAACATATGTCACATTCTCTGATTTATTATTCCACAAATTACTTCAGTATTGGAAACTAAGAGGTCATTGTAGAAGAGTATACTAGCAAATAAAATTACAAAAAGTTTTTAAAATGAGTTTTACATTTTTTTTTACAAGATGAAACAATTTTGGTTTTTTTTTTTAAATGCATGACCCGACTGGGTCACCGGGTTTGGCCGGGTTTGTCTGGGTTTTGACCGGGTTTGACCGGGTCGATGCATGACCGGTCCAACACTCGACTCGAACCGGTCTGGTGACCGGGTCACCGGGTCGACCCGGCCGGATCGGGCCGGGTTTTACAACACTGATAAAAAGTAATTCAAATTTCAAAGTATTAAATATCTCATTTCATAAGTTAAGACCTAGTTGATATTTATAAATCTTCAAAGTTCAAATTACTAAAAGAGGATTTACACAAGTCACAATCTTACTCACATGCTTTAACTTATGGGTTATCTATATTAAGAAAATTTTATGGTTTAACAAATTTCGGTTATTTATGCTTACTCAAATTACTAAATGTATCTCCACTTAAATGTACTTTAATAAACTAATTAGCACAGATTGTATAATAGTTTCTTAAAATATATAATAACATAAATGTATAATTATGATAATTTCATAAAATATTAAAAAGTGTATGTATAAATAAAGGGGTTTGCATTTGTCATTTAACATGACATAACAAACTTTTCTACACACACAATATTTTGTGGGGCCCACACTTTTTGAAGAAAAAAAAGAAAAGAAATTACGGCACGCAAAACGTATCTCTATAACCTTACACGATTATTTTTTCTACAACATAACTCTTATAAAACCCATAAATAAAACTGATATAATAAATTTGTATTTTATATATGGAAAAAGTGTTTGTCATTTTTTATTTTTTTTGATAACAAGTGTTTGTCATTTTAAATGACATAAAGTTATGTCATTTTAAGAAAGAGATAGATACAAAATTATTTTTTTATTTAAAATTTAAATTTAAAAAAAAACCACTCACTTTCTCTCCCATGATTTTCATTCCTTATGTCTATCTTTTTCATAAAATGACATAACTTATGTCATTTAAAATGACAAACACCAAATTATATATATATATATATATATATATATATATATATATATATATATATATATATAAAACATTTTCTCATGTTGCATGAGAATTGAATTTTCATGTTGTGACCCTTCGGTTTGCTTGCAAAGATATATATTTTTTTTAATAAATGTGAGACCCACTACTAATTGAGTCACAACACGAGAATTCAATTCTCATGCAACATGAGAAAATCAAACTCCACGTATATGTGTGTGAGAGAGAGAGTTTAGTTGTTTTTTTTAAATCAAAACTAATACCCAATTCAATCAATTAAAAAAATTAATTCAATCTATTAAAAAAATTAATTTTCTATTTTCAAAATCGCATATAAAAACAATGAAGTATGTCTTATCATAGAAAAATAGAAGAACAAAATAAGAAAAAACCAACGTAACTAAAAATAGTTAATCTGTACCACATTTTTTTTGGCTAATAGAAATGAAAGGTAGCCATCTGTACCACATTCAAGTTGTCATATTCAATTATTCATACCTCTTCTCCCAGCGGCTCTTGAAAGAACAGTCCTTTTGTTTATTTATTTATTTATTATGAATTTTATTAAGACAATGACAATTCACATGTTATATCGTTGTTTTTATATTCGGACTTTTCTTGATGCGATATATTGTTTGACATGCTAGATTTAGACTCTGGCTAGGCCTTTGAAATTGCTTACTTTCTGTGATGCAAGTAAGAAAATGTTGTGCACTTGTTGTGAGCATGTGGTTCACGGGCTAGCAGTGCCATTTCTCTCTCTAGTTATAAATAAAATATTAATTTATAATATATTTATTTTAAATGGTTACTAAGAAATGTTAACTATATAATATTTAATTTAAACATATATTTTTTCTCTTTAATATAATTCAAATTACATTTTAAAAAAACTAAAAAATTAAAATAAAACATACACCAGGTCTTGCGATCAGTTTTAATTCCCTTTCTCAGTAAAAAAGTCCAAAAAAAAAAAAAAAATTGCACTAGGCACATGACATCGTATAAGTTATGAGTTGATTTAAATTTGTTATATATATATTACACAATTTTCTTAACTTGAATTAGTTTGCACCAACTGTTGCGCATGCAAAAGTCATGCTTAAAAACAAATTTATAAATAACTAAGAGCCCGTTTGTTTGCACTTTTGAAAAAAGTAATTTCTATCTCTTTTTTATTTTAGAAGTTTTTTTACAAAAGTTAAAACTATTTATATTTTTATAAAAATATTTAGATTTTGAAAAAAATATTTGATTTTTGACTTCTGCTTTTTTAAAAGTTAAAATTTTTAACTTCAAAAAAAATAAGTTTTTGACTTTTTTTGTGACTTCTGTTTTTTTTAAAAGCAGATATCCAAATGAACTAAAAATGAAAAATGTTTTTTTTAAAAAAAAAAAAGCAACTTCTGAAGAAAAAAATCCATCCAAACGAGTCCTAAAGATTAAAAGAAACTCTTAAAAGACTCATGTTGATGTTCTTTGTCAAATAATTAAGAAGGCCCATACAGATTCTTTTCGAAATGAAAATAAAAAAGAAATTAAAGTGGGACTTTGAAGTTTGAAGTACTCTTTCGGATTTATTATTTTAGCATTAAAGGATAAACGCACATTTCCTTTCTTTCATCATTAATGTACATGTAAAAATAAATCAAAGGTTGTTATAAAAAAAATAAAAAAATAAATCAAAGGTTACATTAATTTTGATAAATAAAAGAAATCATGCACCGAATAATATACTAGAATCTACAATTCCTTTTCTTTATTGTAAGGAAAATCGTAACAGTGACTATTTTGTCACGTTTGGACAAAAAATTACCAGATTGCCACGTCAACAGTAAATTTTGTCAAAATGTCACGCGGCATAATTCGCTACACAGTGTAGCGAATTATGAATGCAAGTAACAAGTAGGGTAGCGAATTTCTCAAAACTTGACATGTGGCATTTTTAGTTCTAACGTGGCATATTTCGCTACACTTGTAGCGAAATTACCTGCATTCATAATTCGCTACACTGTGTAGCGAATTATGCCGCGTGGTATTTTGACAAAATTTACTATTGACGTGTCAGTCTGATAATTTTTTTGTCCAATCGTAAAAAAATGTCACTGTTCCATGAAAAACAGAGACAGAATAAAATTAAAACCATACGATTCACATGGAGAAAACTTGAAATAAAGGGAAATAAATAAAAAAAGAAAGAAAGGAATTTTCCCCATTCCCCACTTTCACGGGAGTTCAAGTTAAAGGCCAGCTGTTACGCATTACACGACACCTCGCCATACTCTTTGAGTCTCACTAGAGTCACTGTTCTGTCAATGTTTTGTTTTGTTTTTTTTTTTTGGTAAGTTGTTTTTTTTTTCGTTTAAGTATTTTGGACCACCACAGAATAGAGTGAATCAAAGATACACCATACTGTGTATATTCCCCCCCTCCCTCAAACCCCAGACACAAAACATAAACGACACAGAACAAAACAAAACAACAATGCATTATTCCAAAACACTCTTCCTTCTCTTCTTCTACTTCACCGTTGCATCCTCGGCCAACCTGATGGTACCTTCAGACGCGGTGTCCCTATTGTCGTTCAAGAGGGAAGCAGACTTAGACGACAAGCTCCTCTACACACTGAACGAGCCATACGACTATTGCGAATGGCAGGGCGTGAAATGCGCACAGGGAAGGGTTGTACGCTTCGTCGTTCAAGACATGGGCCTCCGCGGCCTCTTTCCCTCCAACACCCTAACTCGCCTCGACCAGCTCCGAGTCATGAGTCTCCGTAACAACTCGCTATTCGGACCCATTCCGGATCTGTCACCACTCATCAACCTCAAGTCTCTTTTTCTTGATCATAACCATTTCTCGGGTTCTTTCCCTCCTTCAATACTCTTTCTTCACCGAATCCTCACTCTCTCATTATCACACAACAACCTCACCGGTCCAGTTCCGGTTCAACTCACCCTCCTCGACCGCCTCATTTCCCTCCGGCTCGACTCTAACTCCTTCTCCGGTTCACTTCCCCCGCTGAACCAGACCGCGCTCAGAGTCTTCAACATCTCCAATAACAACCTCACCGGTCCGGTTCCTGTCACTCCGACACTTTCTCGTTTCCACGCGACGTCGTTTTTGGGAAACCCTGGTCTCTGCGGGGAGATTCTTCACAAGCAGTGTGACTCTCATTCTCGATTCTTTGGTTCATCCAACAACACCGCCTCCTCTTCCGCGCCGTTAGGCCAGAACGAAGAGTCAACCGGCATTGTTGTGGTTACTGTTACTTCCCCTACCCAGAAGAAGCATAAAAAAACCGGTTTGGCTCTCGGGTTCACCGTTGGGGTTGCTGTTCTCGCTGCCTTTGCTTTTGTGATCGCGTTGGTTAAGAAACAGAAACAGAAACAGAATCAGAATCAGAATCAGAAACAGAAAGGGTCGAGAAAAATGGAAGCTTTAGAAAGTACCCCTCCGGTGACTACGGTGGTGGAGATGCGGAATGAGGAATTGAAGGTGAAATTGGAGGAGGCGCATAAGAGTGGGAAGCTAGTGTTCTGCTGCGGGGAGGTGCAAAATTACACGCTGGAGCAGCTCATGAGGGCTTCGGCGGAACTGCTTGGAAGGGGTAGTTTGGGAACAACGTACAAGGCGGTGTTGGATTCGCATTTGATCTTGACGGTGAAGAGGTTGGATGCTGGGAAAACTGCGGTGACGAGTGGGGAAGTGTTTGAAAAACGCATGGAGATGGTCGGTAGGCTTCGACACCCTAATTTGATTCCTTTGAGGGCTTATTTTCAGGCAAAGGGAGAGAGACTTATTATATATGATTATCAACCTAATGGCAGTCTATTCAACCTTGTTCATGGTAATCAACATTAGACTTTTTCTTTTTTTCATGTTTAGCTTATATCATGTGTGTCTGCATTCTATTGCTAAAATTGGGTATTGGGTTGTTGGGTTTGTGATGAACGAACTGGGAAAAAGTTGTAGAGCTTGGTGCTGCAATTTGATGGATTATGTGTTGGACTGCTATTGGTTGTTGTTATTGTTGCTGTGTGATGTGTGATGTGTGATGTGTGGTATGAATATGATGTTTCAGATTGGTCAATTTGGGGTTATTGTTACCTATTTATTGAATTTTTTTTTTCCTGCCCGGTTTGCTTCAGGGTCGTGTGACATCAAATGCTGACAATTATGGGGTTGGACTATTTAGGTTTAGTGTTTGATTCGAATTTTACGTATGGCAAGTTGACTAGTGTGCTTCATCCATTTGACCCGTTGTTGACAAAATTTATTTTAAAAGTTCCAACTTTTATTGTAATTCTTGCTCGGAAATCCCGAATGTGGAAATGGGCATAGATGAATTTGCTAATTTGATGTTTGATGATTGTTTTTTTAACTAAGATATAGCTGCTTCACGTGCAGGTTCAAGATCAGCAAGGGCTAAGCCCCTCCATTGGACATCATGTTTAAAAATTGCCGAAGATGTAGCCCATGGACTTGCATATATGCACCAAGCTTCGTCTTTAATTCATGGCAACCTAAAGTCCTCTAATGTCCTTCTTGGAGTGGACTTTGAAGCTTGTATTACGGACTATAGTTTGGCCTTCCTTGCAGGCCCGTCTTCATTCACCGAGGATCCTGATTCTGCTGCATATAAAGCACCAGAGGTTCGAAAGTCTAGCCGCAGGGCCACTTCCAAGTCTGATGTGTATGCTTTTGGGGTGCTTCTGCTGGAGCTTTTGACGGGTAAACATCCTTCCCAACATCCTTTCCTTGTGCCAACGGATTTGCAAGATTGGGTTAGAGCAATGAGGGATGATGATGGTTGTGAAGATAACCGGCTAGAAATGCTCACAGAGGTTGCCAGTATTTGCAGTGCAACCTCGCCGGAGCAGAGGCCAGCAATGTGGCAAGTCCTTAAGATGATACAAGGAATAAAGGACAGTGTTGCTATGGAGGACACTACACTTACTGGACTCTAATAGTTTGTGTGCAAATCTGACTGAATTGTATGCAAAGAAGAAAATCACAGCAAGTCCTCTTGTTGAAAATGAAAGAAAATGCTTGTGGAGGAATTTGGAAGAGTGATTTTGCAGGCCAAGTTTAAAGGTTTAAACAGTCATTTTTCGCGGGAGTCTCACGAATTATATACAGTAGAACATGGAGAACCATAAGATATTACAGTTTTATTGTCCGCTGTGGCTGGCTAGTGCAATGTTATTAGTTCTAGAACAAAATAAAATAGAATTTATATGTGAATGTATTTGAGCTTATTCAATTTTGCATCTGTTTGTATCTCTAACAAGCAATGGACGTTTGCAGTAGAGCCTGATGGTAAAAGACTTGGCAGACAGAAATGTACACAAGAACATGGTCATCTCAGTTCTTCGGTCTGTTTGTATTAACTTTCATTCAACACTTAAACGAGGCACTTTTGTGCTCGTCAAAATTTAAATTTTTTATTTTCATCAAATTTGAGACGCGTGAATTCACGATAAGAATAGAAAAGTATTTGTAAGTGTTATATGAGATTTATAGGAGTCATTTAATTTATTAAAGAAAAGGACAACTTGCTGTTACTAACTAAATTAAATTATAAAATTTTATTTACAACATAAAAAAGAGAGAGAAAAAAAAATTCTTATCATTTCATTCTCAACTCTGTCAATAAAATAATATACAGCTCAAATACTATGATAGTAAATTTTGCGCTATTCTAACAAAAATAAAAAAAATAAAAAAGTTGCGCTAGTCTATTTAATATTCATGCATGTTAATTTAGTTTTGTATCTTGATCATCGAATAACTAACTCAAAATTATCTTATAATTCAACTACTTATAACTTCCTTTAGTATGCATAAAGAACACAATAATTCTTATCACTGAAATTGTATATATACATTGTGTCGGTCATGTCATCATTTAAGCTTTCTAGCTTTTCCCCCATTCCTCTACCTTCATATCTCAGATTGTTTCTCGGTTTATAAAATAGATGTTGAGCTTTACAATGTCCATGTTTGGAAACTTACAGTGCAAGTATTGTAATTACTGCCTTCAAATTTTAGTTCAACCATTCGTCGTTTCCAGCGACTGTTGTGGGTTTCAATGTATTCAACAAAAGCATCAATTACTAAGACAATTAGCTAAGATCATACTTCACGTGCAATTTGGGGAAATATTTCATCTGTATAAACAAGACATTCCCGTTGTACTGATCACAATTTACAAAATTTAAGGGGGGCAAAAAACTACAGAACTAACACGGAACAGCTTCATCGCATAGTATATATTCTATTATAGGCAAAAGGAGTGCAACGTTTTCCCTTTCAACCTTCTAAACTAGTTCTTTCCTCTGATATTGTCAATGTCAGCATACGCCTACCATGTGTTGTTACAACTTTCATACAGAACCATAACTGTACTATCTCCAACAACCAAACTGTATCTCAGCAAAAAGGCCCTGACAAATACCAGGAAACTCATCCAATTTACATCATGCCTGCATGCACACTGCATATTGTAAGAATAATTCTAGTGCAGATGTACAACCAGACATTCAGTTAAAGGAAGGCAGTAATTAACTGAATGCTTCAGAAATCATGGATGTTACTCGTCATACATGGCATGCACTGATTCTGTGTCCACAAATTCCCAACCCAATCAATTGGATAAGTCTTGAGGGTGATATGGTAAACGAAATATAATTAAACTACTTACGGAGAAACAGCGTAGGCAACCTAGGTATAATTTTGTGAAAAAATAGAAGACAACTGACGAGGAAAGAACATTTGGTTTAACACATTATAAATCAGTTGGTTCATTCGTAAAGAATTCATGCAGTACTTTCGTTTAGGTAGTACCGAAAAGTTTACAAAACACATTTGGCAGAAGTGGGTTGTCTTGGATGTTAAAATAATCTGTGGACATCGTAAACATAATACGCATGAGATACAACAGGGTAAAGATTACCTGCAATTATCTGTACTCTAGTCAAGCCGTGTAGAAACACACGGCGGTCAATATTAGTCGTAATAATGTCCCTTAGTATGAGCTGAACATCACATCACATTAATCAAAGCTTGTGCTCGAGGCCTTGACCTCATAATTGTCTCATCATTGTGTTTGATCCATTCTGAAAGTTTCCAGGGCTTCTGCCACTTCCATTTAAACTGTAGCAGCCATTGATGATGACTTCTCTTCCACCTCCAAAGTTTTCCTCCTTGTCCTATAGCTGCTAGCCTCTTTGTTGACAACTCTCCAATGGGTATCATCTGAATATAAAACCATTACAACTTAATTGAACAGCCAAAATTATCATCATCAGAGAAACAGAATGAAGCAGTGATACCTTTCGTGATTCATCTAGAAATGTATCAAACTCCCTGACTGATCCATTAACAACTCCAGGGGTGAATTTGAGTTGCTTTGGTGCAGGAAGTGACATGGGAGACAATGGACCACTCATTTCATCCGCAAGGTGTTTCAAGGACCGTGAGCTTTCCTGTAGGTTTCAGTGAGAAACTTGTTATAATATAACTAAATAAAAGATTACAATTGTAAAATATCTTTTGTCGTCAACAAACCATAGCTAATACTAGTTAAGAATCTAAATAGTTGATATACATGATCTGGGTTAAGTGATGAAATAAAGGTAATGAATATGAAGTTTCAGACATTCATTTCAAAAATAATCTGTTCCATCTGAAGTACTCTATTTATCCCACATACAATTTTGGCATCTTCGCTAAACTATTTCAAATGCTAGTTGCCGATAATCTATAGCTGTCTAATGTAGGAGCTGAAAATTTACCACCCAAACTCATGCTAATTGCTGATAGAATGACTAAAATCTCACCAATGCTGATGCATTCAATGCGATGGCAACAGCTTGTTCCCTAATTTTTTGCTCCTTTACAAGTTCTATTCTATGTGCTTCACTTTGTTGTAGTACTCTTACAAGCTCATTTAGTTGCTCTTTCAAGTCCTTAAGTTCCATATTCTTTTCCCACAATTGGCACCTGTTAAAGAGCATGCAGACAACCATTACTTAGAATAGGAAACAAAAAACCTCTAAAATTTTGCAAAATGATAACAATAATAATAATAATTTGCATTTAATGTAGCTAACAAAAATACTCAGGTAAAAAATAAGAGATAATGTGCCCTTCAGAAAGTAAATTATCTCAACAAAAGGAATGCATAATGTAAAGAACCAATTCAACCCAAAAGCTTAAGTTGTTAGGTGAGGCTACATTAATGATTTTATATATCTCAACACGCCCTCTCACACGAGAGTCCATTGAGCTTGAAGGGTGGACAATGCACTAACCCACCTATCTGTGTGAAGAAAGAAATTCCACTAGAAAGAAAGTGGGAGGCGGCGATCGAACCCGATACACCGAGACTCTGATACCATGTAAAGAACCAATTCAACCCAAAAACTTAAGCTGTTGGGTGAAGCTACATTAATGGTTTTATATATCTCAACACATCATATCAAGTATCAGCAGTATCTGACATACTGCTTATTTTCTTCGGACACTTGCCAAAAATTTGCTTTTCCCATGGATTATTTAGAAATAGTGCATATTTGTAAACTGATAACTCTCTCCACTCCCTAGTCAAATGATATAAACAAAAACTAGAAAAGCTTTATCAGATTCTGAAAGTACCTTGCTTCTGCTGTAGCATTGAACAAATACTGGAGCACATTCTTTGCATCTCCCATCGAGCGTAACTGGTTCCAACGTCCACGGTTATTTAATGTACGTTCCCTCTCTTCTGCCTCAGTAAGTTGTGAAGCCATGGCTTTCAAAGCAACTGAAGACATGCCCAGCATATTCTCAAGAGAAGCTATTCTCGCAACTTTTACATCTGGTGACATGGATAATAGTCTAACAAATGGGGAAAAAGAGAAAAAAGTAAGTTAAAGATATAGACATGTAGTCAATTGCTCCAAAATAGCAACAGAAATGACACCCTGCATACACAGGGCATGAGAAAACTTATACGTCGAATAGCTGCTCTTTCCGATGGAGATACTCTGCCCATCTGAAAACTGATCCGTTTGTTTCAGTAAAGTCAACTCTTCTTCCAGTGCAGCTTGCCTAAAAAAATATCCCAATCAATAGTAAAAAGAAAAGATAGTTTCGGAATGTGATACATTGTACCCATGAAAAAAAAAAGGAAAAAAATATTGTGATCACATACACTTGGCTTTGTTTATCAAATTCAGCACGGACTTCATGCACATGTACCATGACCTCCAGCTCATGATCAAGCCACCTCAGGAGGGATTTTTCATTGACCTGGACATACAAGTTGGGTTAGAATTTTTCTAAAACAAATTTATTTGAAACAGTAAATAACAGAAAAGTCAGTTTGCAGGGTTTGGTAAGGAGTTCAATAAACATCCTAGTTTTAATATGTAAGGAAAGAATTTCATCAAATACAATCCAAATCAACTTGCCAGCCTTATTTAATAGTACATCGAAAGATTATCTCATTTTCTCAATGGATGAAAAGGATGGTATTGTTTCAATTATGGTTGGTTCTAAGGCAGCTACCAAAAGCATACCAAGCTGAGTTGCTTTATTGGAACAAATTTGGTTGGCTCTTTAGCTGACAAAATTGATTAATACATAAGTATAGATCATTACCTGTCCAGGCTGGAGATGTCCATTTGAATAAACTGAAATAAACAGCAAATAGTTAGGAAACTAGAATATGCAATAAAAAAATAACTCCAGGTCAAGTTCTACCAGAGTTGTCACGTGCAGAAGATTTACGGGCTTCCAACAATTCTTTTAGCCTTTTCGTAGCCATTGTTGCTTCCTCTGTCTTCCTTTGAAGAACCTGTAAGTAACAATTTAAATGAGTGACGATAGAATAATAAATTTTATAAATTGTCTAATTTCAGAATGTGAAAATGAGAAGCCTTGTTATATATGTATGGTTTTAAAAATCCCTTGGCCATTCCCATCTAATGTAGATTCCAGTAAATATGAAAAAGCCAGGTAAAACAGAATAGTAGAGGTGAAAAAATGGTAGATACAATAATCTATCCCATATATAGTAGAGGGGTAGACAAAGGTAAAACAGAATACCTTCACATCAAAATGAGCATGAAAAATGTTAATAGAGATATAATATAAAGCCATTGAAAGGCCTTCACTTAACAGCAATGGTTTTTATATTATATTTATATTAAATTTTCTCTAATAAAAAATAATAGATTTTAGATCTTTAACTCACCAGTTTTTGCCGCTGGTTTAGAGCCTCAAGTTTATGTCTTTCATACTCATTCCTTCTTCCCTCCTTTTTCAACTGTTTGAAATTAAAACCAAGATTAAAATAATATTATGATACGAGCACACATATTAGCCCATGTTTTAAGCACAACCACATAATGAATAGTTTTTAGAGGACAACACCATTGCAAATCTTCAAAATCTTCTACAGATTAATAATAACCAAAATAAAAAAATCTTAAAATTAAATTAACAGTGTAAACCAAGAAGAAAACACAAACTGAAAGCAAAGTGTTTCCTTGATGAAGTATTTCAACAATAGGCAAATTAAAATTGCCCTGTATTTTTTTAACTAGAAAGCACAATTATGATGACATCTTTATAATGTAAGCAAACCACCTGGAGTAACTCCTTCTCACGAGATGCCTTCCATTGTCGAAATTGTTCTGCCTCTTGCTTCATTTTATGCTGCAACTGAACCTGCAATGCATACCAATACCTATGTCAGATATAGAAAAGAATTTTAATAATTAATTTGTTCATGAATAGAAACTGGCCTTCTGAGCCTTGATATACTGTATTTCAGCTTGCAGTCGCTTTGCAGCTTCTTCACTCTTCTCCTTTTGCTTTAGTAGCTGAACCTGGCTTTCTTGTTTCTTCTTGAGGTCTAAAATCTGACGTTTCAATATTTAAAAAAGTGAATGAAAAAATTATTGGCCAAGAATGATAACCTTACTGGGGAATGACATCAATGTAAGTCAAAATTCACCTGTGCTTCCAATGCTTTCAATTTTTGGCCACGAACATCTTGAGTTTTCTGTGCTAGTCCATCTGAATTAGCAGCAAGATTCTCTACCTCATGCAACAAACGGTCCCTTTGTTGCTGTCATTATCAGTCCAAAATCTGTCACTAGGGCAAAAATAGAGACTACTTGTGTGGCACTTAATAACTATTTAATTAAAATTTAAATATATCGAGTTCAACCTGCACTTTTCTTTTCTCTTCCTCAAGTTCCATAATTTTCTTCCCGAAATGCAGTTTGAGTGCTTCAGTATCAACTCCCATGAGCTTCATCTCAGACTACAAGAAAAAAGGGGAACAGATTCTGATACTTTGAAATTCCATCTCTCTGCTTTGATAACAATGCAGAACCATACGAGAAAAAAATACTAATGTTCACCCATCTAAGAAGCACCATAAAATTCAATACTGCATTTACAAATTAAAGATATATTCTGTCCCTGTGAATATAGCATATCAATCGATTAAATAAATAACTAGCACATAAGCACATTCCAATGTCACTCCTTTTTGTTTTCTAGATTTTGATGAAAGTTACTGACTTGGCTAGTACTTTAAATGATTTTGTACTGGCTTTTCAACAGCGCGATAGAGGCCACTAAGGTTGCTTTTGAGAGATATATTTCACATAGATTCACAAATTCACATTTCTGCCATCAAATTTGATGTTTATTGCATAAAATGAATTCTGAGATGTATCCATTTGTTAGATTTGAAGTTAATTTTTTAAGTAGACATTTAAGATGACTCATATATATGCAATTCCAAGACAAATCGTAAAAATGAAACCTCTTTCTGCTCCAAGCGCTTATTTAACTCATTCATCTCTTTATCCATGGTATTCTGCAAGAGTGCATGCTCGAACTCTTTTGCTGCTTCATCAGTTTCCCTTGATTCCTCCCCTGCAAAAAGGGGGAAAAAAGATAGTGCCCCAATGTTGAAGACTGAACCAAAAGTCTAAGAGATTCACTCAACAAACCCAAACCACCAGAGTGGGAAACTACTCGAAGTCTCAAACACATAACAACCAAGGATGAAACCATTGCTTAATCCCATACCATTCATCTCTAGACTCTAGACTCCAATTATGGTGAATACACACCTTCCACAAATGAAGTAGTAAAATCCCCAAGCAATAGAGAAAAAAGATAATATATTTTTCCAGAAAAAGGAGGCAGGGGGGAAATGAGTCACCTGCCTCTTCCCCCCTTCTGCTAGGTTTCAAATTCCAATGCATCAAAATTCTTAAATCATATAATCAACTAGGTTATTATGGCTCAAAAAATACAGCTAAACAAACGTCTACCTGATATACTTTCAGTCATGGGATGGTCAGATGAATCTGAGCTCTGAAAGTGTCTCTCAATCCCATCATTTTTGACGAGATAAATATGTCCATCCTGAGACAAGAAAAAATAACATCAAGTACCATTTATTGATATGAGGAAGCAAAATTAACATACACACATAACCATTTATAACCAATAATGTGCTTTAAATCCATCCAATCATGTCGATGGTATTAATTTAATCAACAGAAGAAAAAGTAACAGACAAGTATTTAATGTTTTCCCATTTACATACTGGTTCATCAATTTCACATCTCTCTACAAAAGCACATCTACTGCGATATTCATGAAGTTCTCGACAGAGTTCCTCATTAGTTGCCTCAAGCCAAGCAATCCTTTCCTTAAGAACCTGCACTAGAAGAACGCCATGCTATATATAAAACTCAAATTATCTCATGCTAATTCAAAATGCAAGTTTCAGTCGTACCCGAGTTTCATCAGCTGGAGCTCCTCCCCTAGAACAGAGTTCAGCCTGCAAGTACTTTAACTGCTGGCGCATTTGCTGCATCTCATTGGATATTAAATCTCGATTAGCCTGTGAAAATAACAATAAAGAATGTAACATATGAAACTTGACCAGGGTGAGTTTCCTCATCTACCTAAGGAAAAGAAGAGGATAAGAACTTAAGAGTAACAAAGAACCATGGAAACTTACAACAGGCTTATTTTGAATATTGCGTGCACGGTTTGCATATTTGAGTGTATTAAGAGTTTCCTCAGCATTTATGTCAGCAGGGCTAATGCAAGCTGGGAAAAGCAAAACCGTTTTGTGATTGAAAAGCATGTAAAAGTTTTACTTTTGATTAGGGAAACAATATAATAAATATACCTATATAAGGCAATAATTCAATGTCTATATTTGATACACACAATACAGTATCTCTTAACTATGTCTAGCAAAAGAAAAATGTCTTTATTTAATCATATAGAGTCCAAAGCCAACAAACGCTTTTATCTGATTACCAATGAAATTGGCAGAAATGTCTAACATCAGAATCTTGTTTGTCAAACTACAAGATGAATATGCGGTCCACTTTCATCTTCTCTTTAATAAGCCTATCTAATGTTTTGTCAAACTGTTGCTCAACCAACATGTCCGTAAACAAATAAGATGTGCTCCTACAGTGTCTTTTTCCACTTGACCAATTTAATCTTTCCTTTACTGTGTTCTTATTGTGATAAAAGAGAATAGTATAAATGACATGTAAGAAAGGGCACAATTAAGTTTTCTTAAAATATAAGACAAAAGATAGAAGTACTGCGATCTGATTTTGTGGTATATAATAGGAAAAAATCCAACAAGAAATTAATGAAAAATGAATAGTCCTCATAGACCAGGAAGTAAACAAATGTTAGCACGAGAACTTGAAATTAGTTAACAACTGGCTCATACATAATAGCAAAAACATTTTTCCCTGCAATAAGATGGTTTCAACTGAAACAAAATGAACTGAAGGAAAGGAACATTTCATATTTTCAGATACTTTAACACAAGGGAAAACATGAACATGCTTAAACACACAAACATTTTTAGCCACGAATAAACTTCAAGCAGTAATTACCTATCATGACAGTTTTGCTGTTTCCACCGAGTGAATCCTGCAACAAGGACCAAGGACGTTGGATCAAATATTCTTGGTGACTGACATTAAGAAATTAAGATATAATTCTTAGTTCCTATCTGAAATGGAAAAGGTAAACTCACAAGTCAAGCCAAACTTACAGACTCTTAATTATAGGATACTGTATACTTTGATTTGAATTTTATTTTTTAAGTACCTTGAGAGCTTTAAAAGCCACAGATAAGTTAAAGCCTAGAAGCATTTATAAAGGAGATAGAAATCTTAAAGCTTTGATTAAAGTATGAAATATATAAAGAATATATGTTATGATAGGTAATCCATTGCAAGGAGTATTCAAGACATTGCATAGTACCACCAAAAAAGAAAGCTAATGTTAATCTGGTTTTAAAAATCGCAAGATATGAGACAATTAACTAAAAGCTATCCTAATAGAAACAACATAATGATATATATATAGAGAGAGAGAGGTAGGATATTTATACGGCCACTTTTTTCTATTACCATCTACCACCATATATTATAACTATGTACTCCAGGGAGTACATAGTTATAATATTAAAAGTTGTTTTTCTTTTCTCTCTCTTCAGAAACTTTTCAAAAATTGTCGGTTGAAAAGTTTGATCCAACAGTAATTAGAGTGGTGGTGGATTGGCAGTAGAAAACAATGATAGTATGAATATCCTACCTCATGTGTGTGTGTATATATATATAAAAAAACTATTATGTCAAAGTCAAACAAAAAAATGTTATTCTAACCTGTAAGAGTCGAGTAAGCTTGCTATCCCGATAAGGGACGTGCACACCCTCCTTTCGCTTTTTCTCATCTCCCAGTGCACTTATGACATTACCAAGTGCAAGAAGACCTCTATTGATGTGTATGCCTATTAACCAAAAAAAAAAAGATCATGTCACTAAAATTATAGTCATCATCATTCTCAATTATTACAACACTGAGGCTGACACAATATTTTGAAACAAAAGTATACTAGGTATTCAGGTTAATCATGTATTACCAACCTTCTTTTAAACGAATACCATCAGAACCTGTTCTTTTGGCTCGTTCTGATCCAGCTAGATCTACTAAATGAAGCTTTGCTGAAAGGTATTCTTCACCCATATCCGCATCTGAAGTGTCATTGCTGGGAGAAACTGAATGGAGCTTGTGCATCTGTTCTAATGTAATTGTGAAGATGGCATGTGACCGACTAATACAAGCAAAAGGGAAACCAGAAGGTATTAGATTATAAAGATTAAATCTTGTTGAAACCATACAGATAAGACTTTTCCATCACTCAAATATGTTGTGCGAGTTTAGAATCCAATAGAAATTACAATAAAAAGTTAAACTTACCCCTACAAGGAAAAAGATAAAGAAACAGTAGAAAAACCATCTTCAAGATAAATCAGTACTCAATCCAAACCAAATATTGATAATCAATGAATACAAATTGAAATTGATGCTATCTTTTATGAGGTTGATTGAAGTTATTTTGCCCTCCTATTCAGATAATGCCATATAGAAATCATCACCTGATTTTCCAATATGAAGGATAATTTTTCATTCAATACTCATCTTCCTCATACAATTAACACAATTTTGAAGTTAAAATTACCGGAATTGCTCATATGTGGTGTCAGCATAACAGAGTTCATAATGAAAGAATGTTAAATTTCACACCCCACATTAATATATCACCGAACCAGTATCGATGGTGTGAAGAAACTGCTTCAATTTTGCAAAGTATCCAAACAGAAGCTGACAGCATTGAGCATCGTTTATTTATTAGGTGGACAAGAAAGACTGAGAGCTCATTATTTACCTGGACTGGTTGTTCATATTTGTACTTCCTGTTGCCCTACTTAAGGAACCCTGCTCCAAGCAAGCAGCCATCTCCTGCAATGTACTTACAGCAACTTCAGTTGACCCTGCCAGTGTTATTACTCCATTTGATGTTTCACGAATCTGTATTGGTGACTTCCCGGGAATAGTTACTTTTCCATAATGGCCATTAGAGGTTTCTGGTTTGCCCATAGATACTGTATCCAACAAGTCGTTCACCTCTTCCTTCAAAATCTTCAAAATCAAATGCACAAATAAGTCCTTAAAAAGAATAAGAACTCATGGAAAGATTTCTTTTTTCTATGAAAAGCAATGTCATATGTACAGCCAGCCAATTTTTGCACTGTCTTAAAAAAACTGTTGTCTGGAAAATCCGTTTCACATGGAACATCCATAATTCGACAAGTTACAAGGGTCTACCATTAAAGGGTTCAAATTTTAAAAACAAACCAACATATGTTTGAATTTTGACAAGAGCATGCATACGCAAACCATCACATAGTGTAATAGATATACCTCAATGAAGGAGACATGCAACTGAAATTCTGCTTGATGTTTTAGTGTTTCTATCTTGTTGAACAAGGCATTCATAACCTGAGGAATTAATCCATTCTGATAATTGTCACTATATCCAGTTCCCATGGTATACGTTTTCCCAGATCCTGTCTGTGGCAAATATGTACGTCAAATACAAAAGATGAATAAAATTATCTTTCTCAACTTTGAGAGCATGACATGCAAGATGGACCTAACCTGACCATAAGCAAGTACAGTAGCATTGTATCCTTGGAATAAGCCATCAACCAATGGAGCAATGCATTCCTCAAACATGTCAGCTGAAGGAGACCCACCATTTCCATAAACATGATCAAATGTAAAGGAGTGTGACCCAATTTGAACCTGGTCATTGAAATACTGCAATCAGATTCTCAGGAGCTGAGACCACAAGATATGTGCAGATTATCTCATACCTTTTCCATGTCTAACGACGAAATAATATAAAAAAATATGAGTCCATATTAACAGTCTTCAAAGCAGGTAAATTTCTATTTAGCCTTTCAGCATAGAATGCATGCAATTTAAAGCCTGTTGCAATTCACTTAATATGGTAACTCCATGCAAAAGAGTATGTTTCTATGAAGTTTAAGTCCAAGATCCAAACAGGGGAACAAGTTTTATTTTTCTTAAGACTGTTTTTGACCTATAGCAATAATCATTTTATCTCACTGGTCTCAGTTTAATAGAACTGGGAGAATTTCCAGACGTAATTGGGGCGCCTTGACTTAAAATTCCAAAACCATTATGATTTAAATTTCCAGAATTGAATTGATATGCAATGACAAATTTTCAATTCCAAGGATCAATTTCAATACGATTACTATAAAGAAGAAGAACAAAAAAAAATACAAAAACGAGAACCCAAACCAAAATAGGATGAGGAGGGTGTATGTGAAAAGACCGTATAGCATGAATGCCGAAAACGTCTCAATTATAGTAGTGACACGAGTCATTGCTTAGAACACCTTAAAAATAATTAATTAATTATGAATAAAACCCATTAGTACTTTTGAACTACAATTTAATCGAATCAAACAACCCCAAATTGTAACACTACGCTGAACAAAAAAATTTCCCAACAGGGAAGTTATAATTAATTAATAATAACTCCGAATAATTTTATTTTTTTTTTCCTTTTTCTTTTACAAAGGGATTTGAGCAAATTTACATTGTAATTTCTAAGTCAACAAGAAAGGAATCATAAATGGAGCCTTAAATAACTTAAATGATGATCACGCCATTAATAAATGAAATTTTCGCTAAACGACAAAGATAATAATAACAATGATATCATAAAAATAATATAGAGTTGAAAATAAATTATATATAAAAAAAAATGGGAAAAATAAGGAGGAGGAGGAGGTGAAGGAAGAAGAGAGTACCTGAGGCTTTCCAGGTGTAACGGAAACACATTCAGAGCAACCTTGTTGTCGTTCATCGGCAATGAGGGGACGAATGTGAAGAGCAACTTTCACAGAGCAATTCTCCGATGTTTCCATCAGAAGACCAAAAAAGAAAGGAGGAAGCGTTTAATCGAGGTTTCACGAAGAGGAAACAAGTGTTAATGTTTGTTTGTCTAATCAGTTAGGATTAGAATGAAGAAAACGATGCAGCAGCAGCAAACAGCACAAGAAGAGAGAGAGTGAGATAAGGTAGATTTAACAGCAAGAGAGAGAGAGAGAGAGAGAGAGAGAGAGGAAGTGGTGGTTGTTGGGAGAAAACGAAGAAGGAAGCGTGGATTGAAGAGTAGCGGAGCAGAAACCGCTAAGCAACAAGATCAGTGATAACAACACTAACAGTATCACTTTTCTTCTTCTTCACTACTTGTATTACTTCGAATCTATGGCTATGGTGAATGTTATGTGGCGATGCACTCTCTCTCTTCACTTTCTCTCTCTCTCTCTGTTATACACAAAGCACAAAGCTCCATAATAACTATTGGCTTCTCTTTTTCTCCTCGTGGCAAGTCCAAGCGTCCAAGTGTCTTCACTCTTCCCTTACCTCTCTGCTACTATCTTCTTCTTCTTTTTTTAATTTCCTCTATTTTCTATTTTTTATTATTATTCTTGTGCTTTTTTCTCTTTTAAGTTAACACCACCTCGAAATTTAAAAAGACAAAATAACTCCTAATATATTAAAAGATCAATATGTGAAGTTGATTCTATATATATATATATATATGCAATAGTTTGTATGTCTAAGTTACATGATTAATAAATTAAATTTGTTAAATATAAATAGAATCTTTAGACTAATATTAAAATAAGATGATGTAGGTTGATTCTCGCTAATATATAAGCGAGGTAGTTGCATACTTGCATCTGCTTTCGTTTTTATTGTTTTTATTATTATATTAAAAGCGGCGGTCTTTATTGGATGAACAGAGCTGCATGCGTGACAGCATTTTGACTTATTTTATTTTAAAATATATATTTTTTATATAATTTGTCCCTTGAAAATAAAATCACACAGATTTGGATTATAAGCTAACCTTCAACCCACATAATTCTTTTTATATGTTACTGGTGTTTATCTTCTCAAGAAGTATTTTTTAGTAAGTTCAAATCAATCATTTGAAACCTTGTCTCAAGTAAAAGCTGGCTAAAGTCTTTGTTTGGAGTTCTAAGATTTTAGGTTCCATGTCATTATTATTAAAATATCCATTTTTGTGTCTTCTGTAATTAATGCTGACATATAATCATCAATACCTTCAAAATACAAAACTTTAAGTAATTTTTTATGATTATATAATGAAAAAATATTAAATAACGTATACAAATCAAGTTTTTATATTAATGAGTTCGTCGCATATCATATCATGTACTGAAAGACAAGTGCAAAAATATTTTAAAAAAACTTAAAATAGTAAAATTCCTCTTTATTACTTGAAGATAGAATAAAATAATAATAATATATAAGTGAATTGAATATTTTTGAGTATTTTAAAAATTGTTTACTTCAACTAATGAAGACAAAAAAAAAAATAAAGGTATAGATCTCATATTTTTGTGTATATAAAATGATAAAACTTGTGTCATTTTTTTTTTTTAGTTACCCAATCTTAATTACTTCGTTGAATGCGAGGTGGGTCAAGGATGAAGATATTTAAACTCTTCCTAAAGATATGGCATTTGAGAATCAAACCAAAGTCCTTTTCTTTCCACTTACTCGACTCCCTTGCTACCGACTGAGCTACCACTATTTGGTATAACTTATGTCATTCAAAATGACATACAATTTTCTCATATTGTAAATTACTCAAACTTCTTATATTATTCTAATATGATGGAACATGATCAAATACAAATGTTGTCCTTCATAATCTCACCCGTTAAATTAAATGTGTAATATAAATTTTGCATATAAACCAGTTTAATGTAAATGGATATTAAACTATTTTAGTTAATTTTCTGCTCACGATAATTGTATGGCTAAAATTTATATTTTCAGTAGAAATAACTTATTTTAATTAGCTTGAATATAATTGAATAGGACAAACTCAAATTAATGAAACTTGTTCTTTATGCTTTTTCTTTATTTTTTAAAAATAATTAACAAAAAAGAAAGAAAAATAGCTGAAAGCCCTCTTCATAATTGATTGATATATATCAGGAATCTATTTGGATAAACTGTTTCAGGAAGCACATGCAACAATATACTTTGATTAAATATATTAAAAAAATTAATAATCTTATAATATAAATACTTATTCTGTATATGATACTTTCTACAATGTACAAGTAACTTGTTACTTCAAACATAATTTGTAGAGCAAAAAGCATTCACAAAATATTTTCTCAAGTAACTGTATACATGAATTTGGAAAATATGCTAGCAAAAAGTATGCGAGTTATATGTATAATCTAAACCTTTCAAGAAGAAATTCAAACGGGATTAAGTGTTATCTAAATATGTGTATAAGTATAAGCTCTTATAATAACAATATTTAAAACAGCTTCAATTGGTGGCTTATGCGATTTCCATCTTTTGGTACATCTTCATTCTATTTTTCTATATCATCATGAGTTTTGGAATCCTTAAATTTTGTAATGTATTATAGAAATTCTATTATTTAATTTCTTGCAATTTCATTATTCTTGTAAGAAATATTCTCCAACCCAGAAGTGGCAGCAATTTATTTATGGAAGAAAAAATGCAAGAGAAAAGGGTATCCTTTCCTTTCTTTCTGGTCCAGGACCAGCTGTGGAGTCCCAGGAAGTAGAGTCCAGATGGCAGCTTTGCGCAGAGAGATAAAAGACTGTAAAAAGTTAAAGGGCTGAGAGCGATAGCCACTGCAATGAGAAGCATAAGTGCAAGAACGAGCTTTTGGGCCCTCATTCACATGTTCATAAAGTTTGTTAGCCTCTTTTGAGCTGTGGTCCCCTTGGTAATTTGAAACACCAAATTCATATCAAAATGCTAATTTTGTACAATAATTTTTTGTTAGTATTTGTTTGTCTTGTATGATTTATAATGTATCAAAACTTATTTTAAGATAAAAATAATATATTTGAACATTGTTCGCATCTTCAATAACGAGAATCCATACGGATATTGAAAATGAACTTTGTTTAGTCGCATAGATCTTTTTCAACTCTCCAAAAGTCCATTTAATATAGATTATAATTTACATGTGCCGAAAAAAATTAAAAAATAAGGTGCTTCACTTATATGTATTGTTTCGTTTTCGTTCACCTCTTCCTGTAACTAACATTAGATAAATCCTTATGTTTTCTGACACAGTAATATATTGCAAACTTTTTTTTTGGAGGGTACTTGTAGACTTGCTCTTGGATTCCATAGCTCTTCATTGTTTCCTTTGTTGGGTATTGGACTATTGGTCGCATTTAAGATGGAAAAAATAAATAAATTAGGTTAATCCAACCAAATCAAACTGAATTGGACCGAAACGAATAATATTTTTTTAACCAATTTTGAGAATTGAACTAATTTTATAAAGGGGTATGTTTATCTCATTTTACGTGAGATAAACAACTTTCCTACACACAAAAAGAGGTTGGGTCCCACCACTCTTTTTTTTCTCTCTTTTTACATGTGAGTCTCACTTATACTTTTATTTCTACAACATGAGGTAACTTTTTTTCCTACAACATAAGAAAAATATATCTCTTTTATAAACTAGTTTAAAAAATAAACTGAATTAAAAAAATTGGTTTGAAAAACCGGTTGGTAAACGGTTTGCAACTAGTTGAAAGCAGATCACACCGTGTATACCCAAACCAGTTATGAAACATAAACTAGTTTTAAAATATAAATCGGTTTGGGGAAAAAAAAAAGACACAATTTGATGAGGAACTGAACCGATTTAAACCCGTTCGATTCGGTTAAAAAAGATTCGTAAACCCATGCACACAATATAAAAAATGTAATAATAGATATACTTTTGAGTGAACAATTAAATAAAAGATTTAAAAATGACTTCTGTATCGTCTTTAATTTTATTTGGAAGAATATATAGAATAAGAGACATGTATTCGAATCCTCTAAGAGCATAACAACAACTGGGTTGGTGTGTGTCCTTCTAGATCGGAGCAACCCTTTCTTATTCATTACCCATAACACATTGTGAAAAAGGTAACATATTTACTTGTTTATTATATTTAGTATTGCTTAGAATTCAATCATGTAAATTGTAAAATATAAGTCAAGCAAAGCAGTGTGTTTCCTTGTTGAATAAGAGTCGGCAAAGAGTTGGAGGGAACCAAGACTATAAAATACAAACTTAAAATTAAATTGTTTATAAAATGAATAATAAAGAGTATATTATATAATAAGAAATGATCTGTTTACAAAGTACACTAAATATGACCGATCATACACTCTTAATTAATGTATAACCAGTCAGATATAATGTAATTTATAAGAATTTATAAACAGAAAATTTGTAAATATAACATTTCTAATATATAATAGCTTAATCTTAACTTACTAATGCTTAATAACAAATATATCCTTATTTAACTATATTAAAAACAAATTCTTGAATTTTTCCCGAACTTAACTAAGCTGTTAACTTCAAATTCCCTTTCTTCACCTAATTCTTTCCTACTGAATTCTTCTGAATTCCACCGTTAGATTGAGTAGAAACTAATAGATCCTCAATGAGACCCCACTTACCGATAGAGATGATAGAGAGGATTTCGTTAGTTTCTTAGGATGTGATGTAAGCAAAATCTTACATTTAAAATTTCAAATGTCTTCTGGTAGTGCAATCTACGCTGAAAAACCATTCTTTTTCTTTGGGTACAAAACACCACTCTTTTACCAAACAACAGCGGTAGTTAAATTAGTAGCAAACGAGTTCAATAAGTGAAAAAAAATGTTTTGATTTGATTCTCATATATCACTTTTAAAAAAATTTAAATATTTTCATCCTCATCTACCTTGTATTTCAGATAAGTTTTATAAAAAATCAAAATTTGTGTAAATATCAAAAGAAATTAACTCGATTTAAAAGAGATAATTAAGATTAAATTATCGAAAAAAAATAATATTTTTATAACCCACCAATGTTTGTCTTTTGATTGAGCTTGGGGGTCCTTATTACTCAATGGTTACTTAATGTGATCGATCATGTGCATTTGTACTAGCCTTCAACGATGCACGGACACGGACACGGGACACGGGATACGACACGACACGACACGCCGACACGTTAATTCTAAAAAATGCTAAATTTTGACACGTTGGGACACGTTTTAATATTAAATAAAATATTTAATATATATAATATAATTTATATTTAATACATATAAGAGTCCATAATAAGTCATATAACCAATCAAATATTTAAATTTCATAACATAAATATTAAAAAAAATAGAACATCCCAAGAGTGTAGAGTGTAGAAAATAGAAAAAATATTTTACTTATGATTACACACAGTTCAATTATTTTCATCTCCATCTTGAATAATCATGGCCTCTATCTCTGGCTCATCAAGTGAAAGACTAGCAAATTGAAGATCTC